GAGGCCACCGGGTGGCAGCACTGGTCCGTCCATGAGAGTCCTGTCGCTTCCCTAAAACCCCAAATCCGCTTGGAAATGCCCAAAATTTCAGCCTTTTTTTTTTTCTTTTTTTTTTTTTTTTTTTTTTTTTTTTTTTTTTTTTTTTTTTTTTTTTTTTTTTTTTTTTTTTTTTTTTTTTTTTTTTTTTTTTTTTTTTTTTTTTTTTTTTTTTTTTTTTTTTTTTTTTTTATTATTTTAGGAACGAGAGGAAAGCTACTAGTTTTCATTAAACCGTATATTTTTAATAGATCATATTGTGACCATGTGTTTTGTATAAATGCCTGGGAGTAGCATTTTAAGAGGGGAGTAAAGAATAGGTTAAAAACTTCAGTCTTTCCTTCTTTCATTTTTTTTTATCTATTTATTTATGTAGGCCTTGTTTTATTTATGTGGGCTCCTTGTTTTCTGTGCTTTGTCGATTTTTCTAGGTAAGCAGATTCTAGGCTTCTCTGCAACAAGAATAAAAAGCAGAAGAACCAATAGTCACTCATAACATCTTAGTTACTTAAAATGTGCACATGAGTGAGTGTTTTTAGGGTTTGCAAGAAGAAAACAAAATAAACTTTCTTTTTTTTGTTTTTTTTTCTTATTTACACTTAAGTGTTTTAAAACTGAAGAGAAATTGTTTTCTCTCTGCACTGATTCGTTTTGAAGGATTCTATGATTCTGTGATTGCTGTCATTGGTTTATTTACGTTTCAAAGAGGGGACACATGTATCAAAATATGCTCCTGAAGTCCATGCAATAGTTATGAATAAACACTGGAAACCTATGGTTAGGAGTACAAAAGGCTGTGAGGTTTTCTCTCTCTTTCTCCATGGTGTGTCATTACTTAATCTACTAAGAATCACCAGAAGTTTTCACGTTTGTTTCTTTGATTTCAGTAGCTGATATGGACCACAGAGTTCTATCACTCGGGTCAGGATTTTAAATAAACAAGTGAAAACTTAAGCAATTTGATAATACACAGACTATAATAATAGAAATTCTCATTATCCTCAGGGGAAATGTAACCCAATCTTCATGCCAATCAAGTCTTCCTTTGGAATTCCTTTCCTGTTGGTGTGGAACACTGGAACAGACAGAGTTCTCTTTCTGTGCTTGTATAACATTTAGCACAATGGAGTGGAACTGCTGGTTAAAATTCTGGGAAGTTTAAGAATTTCTGTAAAGTTTAGGAAATTCTATGAAGTTGTAGCAAACTGAGAGTAAGTTGTAGTAAGTGATGCCTGCAGATAACTCCTTTAGTGCTTCTGAAAATATCTCACAGAGCAACCTGTAACAAACTCAGTTTCCAGTGTAAAATATACTCAAGTGATTTTGGCCAGCACTTAAATATCTGATTTCTAAATGTTTTCTGTTTAAACAAAGCCATACAGATAAGCAAACCAGCCAAGGTGCAGTTGCCATTGTGACAACTTGTGCATCGCTTAGCAAGCTCACATAAAAAAATGGCACAGTATGTATAAATATTTTGTATCTGGGTGAACTTTCTATTTTTAAGCTTGTCTTTCTTACCTGCTGGGCTTTCTGCAATCCTGCCTACAGTGACCCATACTGTAAAACACTCCTGAGAGCCTCCAGTGACATCCCCCCCAGGATGCTGCAGAGGTTAAAGGAGGAACATTGCCTGCAGTAAGAAAGAAATGAAGGATGCCAACTCACAAGAGACATCAAGATGCTTTAAACTGATAAATTCTGATATTTTGTTTGTAGCAATTCAATGCTGGGATATAAAAAACCAGCAGTTACTATGTTTAGCCAATTTCCATCCTTTTTCCTATCATATGCCTGGATAATTTATTAAATACATAACAGATGAATAATAAGCAGGAATAATAAGTATGCTCCTCCTTTTGCAGATACAGATAAGAGGGTTCTATATTCCCCTTATGTTAAATTGCTGCTGCATCCTAACATGAGTCAGGGAAATAGTATCAATCCTGGAGGGTGCTGAGCCACATTCCTAGCTCATACTCATGGTTTGTCTTTGGTCTGAGTTCCTGGAGTTTGGGATCAAATTTTCTTACTGA